ATTAACAATAACTTTTTCCTTTATTTAGAAAAAAATGAAGAAGTAAAGATGTCAAGCATTAAATATTAATTGCATTTTAGATTTGATATCTCTGAAACAAACTTAAAAGTCAGTGAAAACCTGAGGTCTCTGGACTCGTGGAGGAATGCAAAACGTAAACCCTTGGAAAGAAACGTTGTTAAATGTATGTGGTATTGCTTTGTATAGAAATAGGTCAAATACACTGTTAATTTTTTTATGCATAAATGGAATAACGAATTGTTTGATAAATATATGTACATTTGCGCTATATACAAGTGAGATTTATACATCAATAACATTCATTTGAAAAAAAAGTATATATACTGAAAGGAAACAGAAACGCATAAGAACATAATATGGGAAAAGGAGATGGGTGAACTTAGCGTGCAGAAAGCCCACTAGCTTCAGATATATAAAAAATCATATTCAAATTGTGAATAAGTATTTAGAGTAAAGTTCTCATCATTGATTTTTATGAAATCATGATAAACAAAAAGTTTTGAGGAATTTTTTTTGTTAAAATTTATTCTTGTGTAAAAAAAAAAAATAATATGATATCCATTGGGTTCGAACCCTGGCAATAAAAATCCTGAGTTGCATTCTCTATTGCGACTAGCACGCTAACCACTACGCTACACAAGTTCTGATGAAGTGTGGCATTTAAATCATGTTTGTGATATGACCCTTGATTTTAGGGACTTCAAGTATTTCTTGAAAAGATACGAAAGTTATGTCATAAAATCATATTTTAAAGGTAAAGTGGGTCTTTGCTCCATAATTTTGGAAACCAAAAATGTATGTTTGTATGTAAACTTTGAGGATTAACTTTCAAAAAAATGGAGAGAAGACCCACTCATATCGAAAAATAGTGTTAAAGTGTGAAAAAATGACTCGTTTTGTTTTCTTTCGTGTGTGTATAATATTTCATAGGCAAATAACTTCAATCTTCATGAGATTTGTGCAAGTTGTGGAGATTTTACATAACGTATACTTTAATGTTAGATGATATATAAAGGAAAATTTTGCTATAATTGAGATTTTATTTTTTCACCTTCATGTTTCTTGCGCTATGGGCTTATTTCTCGTCATGTTCACCCATCTCCTTTTTTGACTATGTGGCCGAAAATTATGAAAATTAGTCAGATGTATATTTTGGTTACTTTGCACTAAAATCGCTAGTCAAAACTACTCAACCATGAAATGTATGGCGTCACGTATGGGAAATGGTAAAAAGTCAAAAACACGTGCATGTTGATGATGATAATTTTGTGATAAAATTTTGTAGTGCCATAAGCTGCATTCGAGTAATAGACATCGTTTTTGCATGTTTGCAGTCAGTATATATTTCTTGCAATCATGGTATGGCTGACGGAAGCTACTTTGAGTTTAGTAATTGAATTCAACATTGCATAAGTGAATGAAAAGGCGAAAACATGCTGCTGTACAGATTGTTTACAACTTTTCAACCAAATAAAAGTTTGTTTTTTTTTGGGTTATCAGAGAGTTAACTTAAAAGTTTACCAACCATGACGGTGACGTTGGCGCGTAACAACGTCAAAACAAGAAAGGACTTTTCATCATGCCACCTCAGTTATTGTCAAGGCATTATCACTCAAACTGATATTTATACAGCAGACAATCATACTCATTTTTTCACCCTAAACTGACAGAAACTCTCTGCTCTAATCTAGGCCGCGAGCTTGGCCACTTTACGTCGATTTTACTTTCAAACGCGCACGTACGCGTCGTTTGCCTGATTTTTTTAGCATATGTTTACACTGGAAAAATATAGCTAGTGTTTGTCGAGACTTTTTACAAACATTAACGTGTACGTGTACATTCTATCCTAAATCGAACATCCGTGGGATTCGATTGGGCGGGGAGATTTGTTGGCTTTGGAATAATACAGCTAATCTCAGCCATTAAGACTACCGTCGGAAGGGTTGAATAATAATGCTATGAAAAAGATAAATGCTCTGGTGAACTCAATGCACATGAAAATCAAGTTTGTTACTGATGCGAAAGGGAGATTTTGAGAAATTTGTTTTATTTTTGGTTATCTGTTGATACCAATATCTCAGGAATTATCACTCAAAATCACACAAAATTTTAGGAACGTTGATTAAAGATAAATTGAAATGTATGATAACAATGCTGGAAAACATAGTTGAAATGATTGTTTTAATTTAAGTCAAAAGTTTAATATGCGTTTCTTTATCCTTTTAGTATAAATTTGCATTCAAAGGTTAATAAACCATTAAAATATATTTAAATTAAAAAAATCACTGTTCTTTGTAGATAAATTTCATTTATATTCTGATTGTGAAATCAATTTGAATCGCACAAGTCTCTCAAGGCTGATATGTATGGTTTATAATACAACAGATGGCATTACAATCAATTTTGTGGTTTGTTATGTAAACAAAATCAACTAATAATGAAAAGTCACGTCCTTAACATTATTTTCAATGCAGTACTAATATTAGTATTAATGAAATAGCTTGAAATAACAGATACATGGAATATTATTTTAGTGTTGCTAATCATTGGTGTCTTTGATTACATTTTAGCGGCCTGGAAACTTATCGACATGGAATCGATCTGATTGACACTAGACTGGAAAGATCTACAGATGCTTTCAAAAATTATTTACTGAAACTTAATACGAACACCAGTTTAAAGACTTGACTTGACTAACTCATAATAGCAAAAGTTTATACAAGTCTCTTCAAATATTTTATTTTCTCCTTTTAATGTTTTAGTTTTTAATTCTTGTTAATTGTCGCATAACTCCTTTATTTATTCATTGTGTTTTATTGTACCTAACATTACATTCATTGTTTGTATGTAAGAGTATTTATTTTCATTTAAATTAATATCAACTATTTAGAAAAGTCTTTATTTTATAATCTACATGCTTTGTTTATTTAGCTTTTACACAGACTCATTCAATTGTTAATGAGTTTTTATGGAATAAAAATAATGCTTTCAGATGTTTAACATTCTTTTTCCTGCTTGCATCCTTAAATGAGAAATAAACTCAGTTTATACGGTCTCATCCGAAGGACCAGTGTCCACGCCCCACAGTGGAATTCGAACCCGTGACGTAAGGATTAACTCCTTACTTTGCGAATCTAAAGCAGACATTCTAACAACATACGCCAAGCGCGGGCGACTCACACGTGGAGAAGAAAATATAGAGTTTGCAAATACATTTTTTTAGTGAATATGTAGATAAAAAGAAGGGAGAAGTTAATAATAATTACCGGTGTTGTATACGTAAAGTAAGACTTCCCCCTTAGTGAGACTTGTCCCGGAGGGATGACAATTTACACTGTAGTTAGACTTCCCCCGGAAGACTTGCTTTTTAAAGAGACTCCATCCGCCCGGGAAGACTGGACGCGTAAGTATGGGAAAGTTTCACGGTATGAAACTTGTTAAATGAAAGTAAATAAATAAGTAGGGAACACGGCAAAATAATATAAACTTTACAAATAATGAATGTGTATTTGGTTTATAGAATTATTTTGCCTTTATAGTACTACAAAGCCCTGGAAATAGCATTCCGCCAAAAGAAATTGCTAACAAATATTTGTGCAGATTTCTTCAAGTGGTACATATTCCAGTCTAATCAAAATATGTTCCTCCTGGGGTAGGAAGCGTAAGATGCGGGGACGAAATGGTAAAAATTTAATTTATTAATAATGCATAGAAGACTTAGAATTATTTAAAGGACAGTAAATACAAACTTTATTACATTGATATACATGTACAAACATTGATATGTTTGATGCTTTAAATTATTTACAGTTATGGGCCTTTGGGGTAGAACACAATTTGAGTGCATTCAGATGTTGCTCGCTCTGTTTAAAAAAAATTTATAATGCATGTGATAATAAATATAATTTAAAAAGATTAAAATTTGTAAGATATAATTCTGCAAAATGGCTTAAAATGTCTTAATGACCAAGTGGTTATGAATAATAGATCGATAAATATGGGACAAAGATTTTAAAAAGTTATAAAATTAAATGTTTTTAACCAAAAGGTATCATGGTATAAATAGAACAGAAGTGTAGAAGTACTAATTGTTTAAGTCTGCATGGTGATAGTGAAAATGGAGGACATATTAGAACTTATGACTGAACACTAAACTTATTATTTAATTGATCCTGATCATCCTCTATCTCTTGCATTTAGGCAACAAAGTTATTATGTACACTATGCATCCTTTCAATATTCTGTAGGTGACCGTTAAGGTCCATGAATCTCTTGTTTTGTTTATATACCGGATAATATAGGCAAAATCTTTTTTCACTCACATATCTAATTTCTTTTATAATGGTAATGCATACCTTTGGAAACAAGACAAGTGTATTTGATAACTGATGTCTACCTTTTGCATTAATTTTATATTACAAGTCAGACCTACTCGATCACAACATTTCTTTGAAATGTTATTTGACCTCAGAAATACACCAAACGTGCACAATAAAGGGCACGAAATGATTCTCAAAACATATGCACAAACTTTGAGGCTTGTGTCACATGAATAGAATTTAAATGCCTCAAACAATTGCAGTTTTAAAGTAATTACCGCAGTACATCGCACATCGAATCAACATCAACAGTGATTTTGAAATATAGAGAAAGAGGAAGTAAAATGGGTGTCTTATTTGAATTGAAGATAGAAATGCTCTAAATGGAATATTAAATAGAAAATGAAAAAGAGGACGAAAACCTCATAAACGTGTGATCATGATCCGTTTATATCATTGTTTTTTCATTGTTCTGTTTGTCGTGCCATTTGTGAAGTTAAGCCATTTTCGTGGAGGTTTGCTGACATGGAGAGCAATTAACGAATCAACGGCAAGTTGTTTTAATTAGTATGTGTGTGTGTGTCTTAATTAAATTTCGGCTTTAACACTCTGTAATCCTGAATAAATAAAATAAAAACTGTTTCGTCTTTTGTAGATCACGGTGCATCATCGTATTTCATATGTGTACAATACCAACTGTCCAACTTCGAATTCATCTGATCCTTTACAGTGCATCTCTGGTTGTAATGGAAGTGTCAGCATGATAGGGCAGTGTACGGACTATAACGCAACTGAAAACTGGGCAGATAGTGAAGGAGATACAAAGTTTACATTTACGTCATCTACAACATCACTTTTGATAGGGTATATGTAAACTTCATTTATTCAAATTGCATATAAAGGGACATTATGGTTATTACATGTAGTTTCTACAGGTTTTCTGACTGACTGGTGTTATGTTAGTCAATTAATTACTTAATAGCTCTTACTTTGTTTTCCAGACTCTAGCATGTGTTGAGTTCTTTGTAACTTTGTATGTTTTCTTTTCTTCGACGATTTAACGAATAAGTTCGCATTTCGTTCTGCTTTAATGATTTTTAATCTTATCATTGGCTTATACCTACAGATAGATATTTTCAGCGTGTTGCTTTCAAACTTTTGCAATTATAAACATTGTCTAGATATTGGACATCTATACCAAAAACTTCTCAGGTGTTTTGTTGATTTTGTTTTTCATAACTTTTAATGTCAATATCATGGAAAATTAGAAAAATCTTAAATATTCCCAAATATAGAGAGACCCATTTATTCACAGATTTTCATTGCTACTATGAATCCTGTGGACGATTATTCCAGACTTTGGGTTATATATTAAAAAGAGTGGATTATATGTTTTATAAATATTTTAAAGAAGCGTACTAGAAATTCAAACGGCAATATGCTACATGTAACAAAACAAAAAAATCTTATATTAAGGAGAACAGTCAGACGGACTTTAATGCAACATATACTAAAATGGTTTTGTTTTGAACATATTTTATTGTATAATTTATACAGTGGGATTGATTACAAGTTCTTGCAACTTAAAAAAACCTCTCCCTGTAATATATACAATAATTAAATTAGTGATTGCCAAAATAACAATTTAAGGTGTAAAGTTATACATATACATGATAAATACAAAATATTTCAAGTTAATACAAAATATTTCAAGTTAAGACACTTACTTAAGATTCAGAGTTCTTACAATATGTAGATCTATAATGATACATTTAAATGATTACAATTATAACAGTTATTTGGAAAAAAAATATATTTGACAATAATGATAATAAATAATAAACATGATCACAAGTAAAATTCTCGCATCATAAACAAACAAAGTTGTACAGGTATGATTAAATGACAAAGAAACAGAAGAAGAAAAACGGATCAAAATCTACCTGAATCACGAATGAACCTTTGGACACAGTGAAATATTTTGTTATTCACATCAACTGACAATGAATCATTTCCAAATAATAAGAGATAGGAGTTGACTATTGCCAAGTGATTATATTGTAAAATATTGTTTAAGAGGCAATATCTTGGCCGCTCATATTTTTTACATACAAAAAAGAAATGGTATACATCTTCAATTTGTCCACATGAACAATTAGGAGAGTCAATTATATTTCTTCGATAAAGATCATTATTAAGTATACTACTGTGCCTTAATTTTGTGTGAATTATATTTAAATAGCGTTTCCCATATGAAAAATACGAAGGTGGCTTTGAGGGATGTGAACATATTCTTGTTTTAAATTTACTAATAGAGGTTGTGTCTCTCACGTCTTTAGAAAGGGAATTCCAGGAATTAATTGCAGAGGGTACAAAAGATTTTTTAAACGTTTCAAGTCTACATTTGGGAATAGAGTAATCTTCTGTTTCCTAAAATTGTTGAAGTCAGATGAAGATTCTCAAAAACAAATAAATTTGTTAAAAAAAAAAACTGCGGTCCTTCAGCAAGTACTCTGACGTAAGTAATGAAAGACGACGCAGTTCCTCATTGACAACATTAATGTAGTCTTCGGAGACTGTAATAGAATGTTTGAATTCCAGAGGGCACTAATCGTGCTCCCTTATTACTAGTATCTGATTTGTTTTTATACTCTGATTTGTTTTTATACTCCTTCGAAGCAGAGTTCTATCAAAAACTTTTAAATGAAAGACAAAACACTGCAGCCTTCAACTCAACACAAAGACGGTCTTTAACAATTGACTAGTACCTACCATTCGTATGTCGACAAGATATACACATGTACATGTACATGTATCCCAGTGTAGTGTATTTGAAATAAAAGACACCACAGTCTGTCACAATTATTTCAAAATTAGATATTTATGGAATCAAAATGGGTAAACAATCAATACCAAATAAATTTTTACTCACAAGCATGCTCTTAGTACGATTTTTTTAATCCGATGCGCAGCTACCATAAGGCAATGTGACCGGAATTTCAACAATCTCATGTAAAGTTAGCATATTGATCAATCTTTGATTTGTATAATGACTTTGTTACGGAATATTAATTAACATTGGATCTTATTTTGACCTACTTGTTTCAGACCAATTCTTTCACTCTTGTTTTTATAATACTGAATTTGACTCCAGAATGTTCTGTCTACCTGATCAATACAAAAGGCTTACGATATTTGTGACCAGTCAACAGGGAATTCTTACTCCTCCTCGGAACTTAAAATTGAACATAAAAGTACAATGTTACTTGTAAAATTTTACTAACTTATAGAACATTTTTTATTGCAGATTTGCTAGTGCTGCTTGGATTTCCTTAGTCCATGGTGGAGGCTCATGGTCCTTACAGATGACGGTTGATCTATCCACGCGTAGTGATACAGGAAAAATTAACCAATCGCCTGTCTCATCAATAGCCTCATCTGTCAAAATTCTAAATTCATGTTCCTCACAACAAATTATAATTCCAGGTATATTTTATTTTATGTTAATTCAAAATACATTGAAAATGATTTCAAAAGAAAATAGTTTCATACGTTGCACTATTTTAGATGAATAATTAAATCCTTGATCATGCAATCTCTTAGAAAACCTACAATTTTTATACCACCATATGGTGAATTTGTTTTGTTGAATTTTTTCAACATTGGAAGATGTTTTGCAATAGAAATATATTTTTAAAAATATTTTAGTGGCAGACTATGACGGAGATGACGTACGTTGTCGATTTGCCAGTTCTTCGGCAGAATGCTCTGGTATATGTAGTGTACCCTCCAACTTTTCATTGCATGAAGTAGGTATAATAAGATATATTTATTTCTTATTTTATGCGAAGTACCGTCAAAATCACACAAAAAGACGGACAAAATAACGCCGTGTGGCTTTAAGATGACTTTAACTTTTCTATCGTCAACTTCCCTTATTTATGCAACAATATACCTTCATCACCTGCACACCTTTATATATATCAGTTGAACACAGATGTAAAAATAGTTTTCATTTTGCTCCTTCATCGCTAAATGCAAGTCTCGCCTCTGATGTTTTCAGAGCCACGAATAGGCTCTGTTCCCTATATTCATTGTTTCAATGTTATGTTGAGCTTGTTTACTGATTCCTTTACAAATCTTCATTGATTGATCTTGCAATTATATATTTCTTTCAATATTTCATACTTTGTTAATTTCAGCAGACATGCAATTTAACGTACACCGGAGTCGCTGTTAATGGAGATTATGCCATTGCAATACAGATAGAAGATTTCATAAACCCATCCTCAAGTATCGCCCTTAGCAGTGTTCCTTTACAATTCATCGTAAGCGTTGGTTCAACTGGCTCATGTTCTAGCAAACCAACCTTTACATCTCCTACCCCTGGAGAGGGGTCAACATTACAAGTTTTAAATGGCTCCCTGGAGTTAAAAGTACGAGTCAGGAATCCGTATACTTCGGAATGGTAAGTTCGATGCTATGTATAAAAGCGGTGATTCTTACGTAATATGCTTCTACTGTTGTTTTTTTTTTTTTTTTTTTTGCAAATTTTTTTACTTATTTTTCGTTCATTTTACTTAATCATTTCATTTATTCAATACACAGACATTCTTTTATTCGTTTTCTTTATTTTTTTTAATTGATTGAATTGATTGTCTGCATGCCTAATTTTTTTTTAAATCATCATCTAGTACTAGTAATCATTTGAATCTATGCAATTGGATTTTTCAAAATATAAAATTCAAACAAATTTTCATTCTTATAAAATGTTTTCTAAATAAGAAACTCCGTACTTTATACTAAATAGGATCAACAAATTTCATATCTTGTCACGACTGAATCTTGTGATGTCTGCTATTTCACAACCAGCGCTTTACGAGTATGAAGTAACACTTTCATTTACGCCAACTCATGTAGATCAGTTTGGAGAATATATCTCATGTTTCTCAGCGGAAACAAACAATAGGTAAGAAAAATATTAGTGTGCCGCGAATTTGAAAATATTAAAATGTGTAAGAAATACAACATTTAACTTTCAGATATGCCACTAGCTTTTTAGCTCACCTGAGCCGAAGGCTCAAGTGAGCTTTTCTGATCAAAATTTGTCCGTTGTCTGTCGTTGTCATTGTCGTAGTCGTTGTCGTTGTCGTCGTTGTCGTCGTAAAGTTTTCACATTTTCATCTTCTTCTCAAGAACCACTGGGCCAATTTCAACCAAACTTGGCACAATGCATCCTTGGGTGAAGGGGATTCAAGTTTGTTCAAATGAAGGGCCACGCCCTTTTCCAAGGGGAGATAATCATGAATTTGTTAAAAATTAATGGCATTTTTAAAAAATCTTCTTCTCCAGAACCGCTAGGCCAGGAAAGATGAAACTCATGTGGAAGCACCCTCAGGTACGCAGCACAGTTAAGGTTACAAAAAGGAGGTGGAGCTTAATTTGTACGGGAAAACTTGACTATGACATCATACACAATATTCGTCATACAACATTTCTTTAAAATACCACAAAATGAGTTTATCTGGTAATTTGACCAGTAAGAAATCCTCAAACTACTTAAAAACTTACTACAGCGTGATGTTTTGACGCTAGTTAAATCCCACATAACAAGTAATAAACAAGTCACAGATCGCAATACATTTGTCAATATGACGTCATTTCTTACAACGTGACGTAGTTTGTATGCAGTGAGAGACAGATCAAGTAATATTTTCTCAACAAAATATGTATTCTCTAATTAAATAAAATATAATTTACAGATATTCTATGGGACAGTAACTTGAATTTGATGTCTTCTTCGCTATTTTATTAATATATTTTCTGTACATTACGTATTTAATTGACACTGCCGTATATTTGTATGCAAATACATCGAAGGGTAATGTGGGGGGTCTTCATAAATCGATCTAGTGCAAGGGCATACACTCTATGGATCAAAGTAAGCTTTTTTACATTTCAACTGTAGAACTAATAAGGTATCTGAAAAGTGCTGCGATCCTGATGAAATCTTAAAAACAATTTAATTATATCAATATTTCATGCCGCTGACCAGCAAAAAATATAGCATTCGGTCTTACAAATATAATTTTAACAATGAAATTGCAAAATTTAGACAGGATCGCAGCATTTTTTAGAAACTACAATACTTGTTGAAAATATTTATATACTAAACTTAGAAATTTAACTTGGTTATGCCCTTGCACTAGTGACATTTATATGTAACATCAATACTTCAAGTCATTGTGCTAAAATCGCGTGACTGCCGCATCACGTGACTAGTCTAAATATAAAATATAATCGTCCTCGATATGTAGTTATTAATCATTATTACAATTATACGATATAAATAATGTACTAAAAATAATCGCCATCCCGATTACAAATACATTTTTAAATACAAAATTTAGCCGATATTTCCATTGCACACCTTAACTGTACTGCGTAGTGTAGATTCAAGTTTGTTCAAATCATGACCCCCAGGGCAAGGGTGGGGCCAAAATGGCCGACCCAAGTTTTACATAGGAATATATAGGAAAAATCTAAAAATCTTCTTCTCCAGAACCATTGGACCAGGAAAGATGAAACTCATGTTGAAGCATCCTCAAGTAGTGTGGATTCAAGTTTGTTCAAATCATGACCCCCGGGGCAAGGGTGGGGCCAAAATGGCCGACCCTATTTTTACATAGGAATATATAAGAAAAATCTTTAAAAAATCTTCTTCTCAAGAACCACTAGGACAGGAAAGATGAAACTCATGTGGAATCATCCTCAGGTAGTGTAGATTCAAGTTTGTTCAAATCATGACCCCTGGGGCAAGGGTGGGGCCAAAATGGCCGACCCAATTTTTACATAGGATTATATAGGAAAAATCTTCAAAAATTTTCTTCTCCAGAACCACTGGGCCAGGAAAGATGAAACTCATGTGGAATCATCCTCAGGTAGTGCAGATTCAAGTTTCTTCAAATCATGACCCCCGGGGGTAGGGTGGGGCCACAATGGCCGATCAAAGTTTTACATGGGAGTATATAGAGAAAATCTTTAAAAATCTTCTTCTCAAAAACCACTGGGCCAGGAAAGTTGAAACTCATATGAAAGCATCCTCAGGTAGTGTAGATTCAAGTTTGTACAAATCATGACCCCCGGGGCTAGGGTGGGGCCACAATAGCCGATCAAAGTTTTATATAGGAGTATATAGGAACAATCTGTAAAAAATCTTCTTCTCAAGAACCACTGGGCCAGGAAAGATGAAACTCATGTGGAAGCATCCTATTGTAGTGTAGATTAAAGTTTGTTCAAATCATGACCCCTTTGGGTAGGATGGGGCCACAATGGCCAATCAAAGTTTTACATAGGAGTATATAGGGAAAATCTTTAAAAATCTTCTTCTCAAGAACCATTGGGCCAGGAAAGATGAAACTCATGTGAAAGCATCCTAAGATAGTGTAGATTCAAGTTTGTTCAAATCATGACCCCCAGGGGTAGGGTGGGGCCACAATGGCCAATCAAAGTTTTATATAGGAGTATATAGGGAAAATCTTTAAAAATCTTCTTCTCAAGAACCATTGGGCCAGGAAAGATGAAACTCATGTGAAAGCATCCTAAGATAGTGTAGATTCAAGTTTGTTCAAATCATGACCCCCAGGGGTAGGGTGGGGCCACAATGGCCAATCAAAGTTTTACATAGGAGTATACAGGAAAAATCCTTAAAAATCTTCTTCTCAAGAACCACTGGGCCAGGAAAGATGAAACTCATGTGGAAACATCCTCAGGTAGTGTAGATTCAAGTTTGTACAAAACATGACCCCCAGGGGTAGGATGGGGCCACAATGGCTGATCAAAGTTTTACACAGGAATTTAAAGGAAAATCTTCTTCTCAAGTACTTCAAAGCAATGATTAGTGATAGTATAGGAAGAAAATGTTTTTAAAAAATCTTTTTTATCAAGAACAGCAAAGTCATATGCTGTATTGATATGAAGGCATTCTCAAGTAGAATTAAATTTCAAGCCCCCCCCCCCCCCATCAGTAAACTTTTCAGTTCTGATCTGATTTGTGCTTTTTCCTAGCGGATTTGCTAAGATGAGCGATGTGGCCCCTGGGCCTCTTGTTGATAATGTTATGAATATTGAAACTTGCTAGTATTTACAGGCTTGTTTGTTAAAATAATAAATTCAATTAAATAAACATAGTAAAATACCTAACCAAAACACAAAATGCTGTCATTTACAATAAATGTGTAACACATGGGAAGATATATATATGATAATTTTTATCATTCAGCATTTTGTAATATTTACTTTATAAATGATAGAATTAAGAAAAGTTTAAAAATTTCAAAGAAAACATTAGGTGGTAGATTGGTGGAAAAAATTCTAGAAATCTTTTTTTCTTTACATAAACTTATAAATGTCCATTACATATCTTTATAAAAAGACAATGAATACTTGAAAATATTTGTATAGAATAAAACGTCTTAGACACAGTTCAAATATCAGAGAGTTATTTATCTGTTCAACATATATTTACCTTACAGTTTAATTAAAAATGAGTATTAATATTTGCGTACAACATCATTGTGTAAGTTTAACTTCTGTTTTCTGCAATGAAATTAGATTGTTGTCTTAATAAATAGAAATCATATTTTAACTTCATTCATTGATAATCATTCGAAGATAATCAGTGTCACAACTGACCTCAAGTTGTGATGGGCTCTTTAAATTCGTAAAACAACCCAAAACAAATAATATTTTGGAAGACCTCCTCTTCACCAAGAAATAACAAGATTCATAAAAATTAACAATAAATTTATCTACATATGTACAATAAACATGAAAACGGCCAAAAGTTCAATCATGGTCATCACTGAATAGATTCACACTTCACACCACGTCGCAATGTATGGTCCACCATATTGTACCTTCCGGTCCACCATATCCTTAAAGTAGCTTCACCACGTACACCAATCCTCCTGTCCAGAACAAAAGCTTAATATACAATTTTGGTCACCTACAATTTTTATAGCGTTTTCTAATGAAATATTCAAAACACATATCTGTTCAAAATACATGTACTAGATTTTACAAACAAACTACAAAAGAAAACACGTATTTGCCATTTAACGAGTAAATGATTTAGAGCGTAAATATATACATTCTTGCTATATTGCTAACAGATTTACATAGAAAATTGCTCTTTAAAGCTAACAACAAAAATATTGTAAAGTGTAAAAACCTACTGAGCTGTGGCATTTTATACATAAAATCATACGGTCGGCCCCCAGGTCTTGCTCTCAACGCTGCTACAAAACATCCCTGAATCCCAAGATCACACAGCAGGGTAAACGGTACACACCCAAGGTTCACACAGCATGGGTTATATAAAAGGCACACCCAAGATCACTAAGCATGGGTAAACTATAACTCCCGGAGTCCAGACCTTAGCAATTCTTCCTAAAAATAAAAGTACAATATTATAAGGTCAAATGTCATTTTTCATTATTTTATCTTCATACAATGGTATATTCTAAATGAAATTTGCCTAAACACCTTTTAGATTTCATAAAATCAAGTGATAGGTAGAGCCTACCTCAGACAGCGATGTTTGTCTCAAGGGAAAGATAAATGTTGAGTTAGGAAGGATACATGTAACCCCTATCTATAACCCGTTTCCTTGTATTAGTGTAACATAACACAGAACATGAAAAAAATGGGATGTATTTAAATTCAACATATTTACTATATTAGTATCATTCATAAGCAAATGTTGTCATAATTTTAGTTAATGAAACTGAAACCGGGTGGAAATACACAACAAAACACATTCCATCTGGTTAAATACGTGGGTTTATTGTGATGGTGCAATCTTGCCCATTATAGATGTATGGTAAAGATAGATGACCCTGTAATTACGTATTAAAATTATAAATACAAGAACAATAACTCTGCATGCAAATTTTCACAAGCAAAGCA